GAGGAGGGAGGAGGGAGGAGAGAGAGAGAGAGAGAGAGTGTGTGTGTGTGTGTGTGTGTGTGTGTGTGTGTCACTATGTTCGATTGTTACCGTGTCCGATTGCAGCCGTGTGTCCATTTCCTATTGTGACCGATTTCAACCACTTTGTGTCCGTTTCTTATTGTGTCCGTTTTTAAACCTATGTCCCATCCATTCAATCTGCTGTGTCCGATTTATTCTGTGTACAACTGGGACTCACTCTTATTTATTCACCTGTCCTTGGTTTATCCCTTCTCCTATTGTCCAGAAGATTCTGAGTCAGGATTTTTAGGCGGTTTGTCATTAGGTTTCTTGTATACATGGCCATCTCAGCCTGGCAAGTTTAATGTACTTGACTATGTTTATATTCTTCATATAACTCATCTTTATATCTTCTTCTCCATTCACCATTTTCGTGTTTTGGACTACAGATTTTCCTTTGAATTTTTCTCTCAAAAATGAGGAGCATTTCTTCTTCGACTTTTGTGAGCGTCTCATATGTAAGGACAAGTCTAATTAATGTCTTGTGTAAATATTGCACTTAATTTTTCTGGACAGGACTCTGGATCGAAGTTGTTTAGTCAGTCCATAGTAGCATCGATTTGTTGTCATAATGCATCTCCTGATTTCATCTTTTATGATGTTGTAGCTATTCACTAGAGTACCCAGATAAACAAATTTCTTGACCACTTCGAAAATATGGTCATCGTGATATTCTGACCTATTCTTTTGATGATGCTATGCTTTAATGCTTATTGTCATTTTTGTCTTCTGTTGACTGTTAGTCCTAGTTCCTTAGCAGGTTTCTCTATTTTAAAGAAAGTTTTCCTGACTTCAGGTATCAAGCGACCAATTATATCTACGTCATCTGCATAACCTAAAATTTGAATAGATCTGTTCAAGATAGTTCCTTTGTCCGTTGCCAGCAGTTCTTATGACCTTCTCAAGCGCTATATTAAACAGGATACACGATAGGTCATCACTCTGCTTGAAACCACCCCAAATTTTAAAGTCTTGTGAGACTTCTCCATCTACCTTCACCATTCTTCGAACACAACGCATTGTCACCCTGGTCATACGTACCAATTTCCTTGATATTCCAAGTTCATTCATTGCCGCGTATAATTCGTCTCTTTTAATCGAATCACATGCAAATTTAAAATCGACGAATAGATGGAAGGTGATATTATACTTTTGAGTTTTCTCTAATATGTCTTATTATGAACATCTGATCGACTGTGGACTTTCCCTTCATGAAACCGCACTGATAGTTACCAATAATTTTCTCGAGATATAATTGGATTCTGTCACAGATTATGTTCGATAGTACTTTTGCCCGTATTTAATAACGTTATACCTCTATAATTGTCACACTTTAAGATGTCACTTTTCTTATGTAATGGACATATCGCGCCCGTTTCTTGCATCTTCTCCTGAATATGTTCTTAATTAATTCGTGCAGCAAGTTGATCAAGTGTCCATCTCCATATCTAAAATGGAGTAAAAAGTAAAACAATTTACTTGATATTCTATTCTGTCCCGGCGCTTTATTGTTTTTTAATTTGTTCAGAGCTCTCTTAATTTCTTCATAAGATCCTGAGGTTCTTTAGGAGAGTTGCTCTAGTATTGTTCTAAGCTTTCCAGATTCTGATTCTCCGTTCCATTCACGATCTCGAAATGTTGTCTCCACTTCTCTAGTATTCTTTGCTTATCTATTAGTGTTCTATCTTTGTCTTTGCATGCGACACATCTAAAGGGTTTAAAGATTTTTCGAGATTTATTTACTCTTTGATAATACTTTCGTATGTTCTTTGCTTGTTGGAGCTGCTCTATCTCCTCGAGATTTGCTCTTACCCACACCCTCTTTTTCCTATTGTATGTATCTTCCTTTCTTCTCTTCTTAACTCCCTGCAAGTTTCCCTGCAAATCTCCATAACACTTCACGTTCTATGCTTTTGGAACGCCAGCCTATATGCGAAATTTTTCCTGTTATTTCTTCGCATTCAGAGTCAAACCAAACATTCTTCCTCCCTGCAGTTCTCAAATCCCAGGGATGTTTCGACAACCCGGAATATGAACTGTTTACATTTTTCCCATTTTTTGTCCACGTTTTTCATCTGAGTTGCACACAAATTCTCTTAAAAATTCGTCACGTACATCTCCTCTACGCTCGCTATTTTAAGGCGTTCAACATTATACAGTTTAGCCATAACGGCCCGCATTTAGTGATAGATATCCTTGTCCGTAGTTTTGCCCCGACTAAAAAGTGATCTGAATCAATGTTAGCTCCTTTATATGATCTAACATCGAGCAGACTCGATATGTAACGATTGTCTATTAATGATCGATTTAATTTCCTGCATCTCTGTTAGATCCCGTTCATGTAATTTTGTGTATCTTCTTGTGTTCGAATTTAGTACTCCCTACAAACATAATACAAACATAATAACATATGCCTTGATGTTGCAAAATCCATGAGTCTTTCCATTGTCATTAATTCGCTCGTGTGCCTGCCCGCGCACTCCTAAGTAAATTTGCTCTTGTCCAATCTGTGCATTAAGATCTCCTATTAAGATTTCTAGGTCGTTGGAGTATGCCATTCCCGATCCACCAAATTTCCTGAATTGCTTATATGAGCCCTATATTTCTTCAGTTCTTCGACTAGCATTCTCAGGATTCCTGGTCGATATAGGAGAGTACATTCCAAGTAAAAAGGTTTATGTCGTGTTTTCTAAATCGTTTGTCCTTCTTCTTGCCATTTCGTTGCCATACAGACTGTCCGGTTATTTCTTTGG